CAGCAGCGGTGGCGATGGAGGGATACTCAAGGGTTTGATTTCCAATATTTTCCATCAAGACCAAGACCCAGGCGTCATAGGAGGAGAAGAAAGGAAAGTTAAGGATGTTAATCAGGGTGCTGAGCAAGTGAAGTCAGAAAGAGGAGGTGGGCTCGTGGAAAGCCTGGTTTCAAGCTTGCCAACCCCTCTTGCAGGTACTCGCTAATTTGCTATCTATACTACATACAACACCCTCGCCCTCCTATTTCCTTTTTGTCTCAATTTATTCTTGTGAATTGAAGATTAATATTTTTTTTTTCTGACCAAATTAAGCTTCAGTTTCTAAAACTGGTTCTTTCTTGATGAACAGAGGATGCAGCCCCGGCTACGGATGAGGCCTCCATTCTCATTCATTCCATTGTGCACGAATAACTGGGGCAGCTGAAGTTTTTGGTCATTTAACCTTCTTCCAATTCAAATGTCCCTCCTACTAATGTACACGATGATGTCTCGTTTCTTGTTTTGATGGTTTAGTGAAACTCTTTTGCCCAAATTGTTCCTTAATTTACTCAGTTTTGGCCATACCCCATCATCGTCGAGCAATATTGCTGGGGTTCATTAGGAATGATAAATTCAACTTTGCTCAACTATTGTGGATCCAATTATTTGCGTCTTTATCGCTCTCTCTCTATTTATCACTCTCTTAAGTTGTTAGTGTAGAAAAATATAGGGTTAAATGCAAAAAACCCCACAAACTATATAACCAGTTGCAGTTTACCCCCTAAATTATAATAATAGGCATTTTGCCCCCTTGAATAATATGTTTGGACAATACTACCCCTACTATCTTAAATCCTTTCTTTTTTTTTCTCTATTAGCTTTTTTCATTTTTTCCTTTTATTTTCTTTTTGTTCTCCTTCTCTCATGGAACTAGCCAACGTCTTTCTCCGATGTGAAAAGACTTACATAAAAAATTTTAACATTTTTAAACTGCTTTTTTAATTTGTTTATTTGTTAAATTCATTCTTAATAATTTGTCATAAACTCTTTGTTATTACAAAATATTCAGAAGGGCAAGATGTGTATATATTCAGAATTTGGGTGGGACAAAACGTTTCGTAAGGATAGATTAGGGGGTAGATTGAATTGAATAAAAAATCACCTATCACGTTATATATATATTAGTTTGATATTATAATATTTTTTTTTCCTTATCTTATAAAGGTGCTTCCTAAAGCTGTACGATGCTTATAGCTGAAATGCATAAATCAAAGAAAGTGTGAAATACAATAACATATTTCTTGAATGGCTATAAAACCTAAAGAAATAGTTCCATTGGAAAAAAATTAGAGAAATTTATGATGACATGGCATTTAGATTCTTATTGAGTACATAGATAATAATATTTGCAACAAATTTTATTCAAAAGGTTAAGAGATTTAATTGCATCATCAACGATAAACTTGTTGATGTTTAATTTTCTCTCTTTTCTATTACTGTGATAAGAAAATGATTTCGAATATATATATTGTCGGCGTATCTATTACTGGTATTTTAAAAACAATGCTGCTAGTAGGCTATGTGGCAAATGTCTATTGGTGACTTTTTATATATTTTGGACCAATGACGAAAAAAAGAAATCAATAATTTGTTGTTTAGTGGTAAAAGCTGTTCTCAAGGAAAAAAATGACACTAAACATGGAAACCAACTGCCGTTATTTTAATATTGTAAAAGATTTTTTATATATATAAAATATTGGCATACGAAATTAAGAAATAAACAAATTTTGACTAATCTAGTCTACTTATTTAAACAATGCTTAAAGAAAAAAAAGGAAGAATTTAAAAAGAAAATGATAGGCAAAAAGAAAAATAACAATGCTTAAAATAAAAGGGGTAGATTTGTCCAAACATATCATTCAAAGGGGCAAAATGCCCATTATTATAGTTTAGGGGGTAAACTGCAACTGGGTATATAGTTTGTGGGGATTTTTTGCATTTAACCCAAAAATATACTGCTCTCTCTGTCCACTTGTTCTCTCTGCTTTTTCTCTACTCTCTGCTCATCATCTTCCTCAACGAGATCTTAGTTTTAAGTCGAGAGGTCTCCCTTCCTTGTTTTCTGTTTAATAAAGTTCTCTTTCCCAAAGTGTTTGCTAGTGAAAGTTCTCATCCATTCTAAGTTATTCTAGTGAGAGCTTTGTTTAATTTTTTGTTATTATTTTCTCAAATCTAACAGATTTTTTCAAATCTATATATTATATCCAAAATTTCTTAGATCTTTTGATTAAATCTCATCATTAGTTTTGAATTTAAACCAATATTTGTGATTCAGAGTATAATATTTAACATTTTATAACTCTGTTAAATCTAATAATTTTTCAGATCATATATATTTGTGACATGTTCTGTATGTTTTCAATTTTCTATCATTAGTGTAGTTTTCTTTATCAAACAAATTCTACTGGAAGATTTTGAGCTAATTTATTAATAATATTGGCTTTTATTTCATACAAAAAAATGTTAGTGTAGACTTTAACGTATTTTAAGTGCCCCAAATTGGGTTTTAAATTAGAGTTTCACTTAATCAGACGACAAGCACGTACGGCTTTGGCTTCTATGCAATGAAATAGCGCTGCGCGGTGTTCCCAATTTTGATCTCTTCAATCAATCCGCGTTATGAATTACCATAACGCGAAGGCATGGTGCCATGATTTGCATCAATATCAAAATATTGCAACTTTTCATACCATTCTCATGGTCTTCATAACTTACATGGATGTTGAAGGGTGTTTTTCTTTTGAAGCTCATACAAGTAGGGGTATACTTAATTAAGTCAAAGATTCTAATTTTTAAATTTATTTGATTATTTTAATGAATTTAAAATTGTGTTTAAATTTAATTTATTTATTTATTGAGTCAAACTCAAATGAACTTTTATTGAGTAAAATTTGAGTGCTTGCAATTTATATATATATATATATATATTTCAATTTAAACTAATTGAATCAAACTCGAGTGGAGTTTTATTGAATAGAATAAAATATTGTTTAAGTTTAATTTGATTAATTGTTAAACTATCGAACGAGTTCTTATCAAATCGAATTGCATTCAAGTATTTAATAATTTGGTTCGTATTTCAACCTTACATGGATAATAGGTGAATCTGAATCCCTTGCCCATCCTCATACAAATAAGGGTTAATTCCACTTTGTCCCCCCAAACTTTGGACGATTATCCACTTAAGTCCCTAAACTTCAAAATGGGACACTTAAGTCCGTAAACTTATAAATACCTCCCACTTAAGTTCCTGAACTTATAAAATGGGACACTTTCATCCCTAAACCCTCATAAAATGGGGCACTTCGACCACCAACGGCATTCAGGATTTGTTAACAATTTTCCTTAAGTGGGAGGTATTTATAAGTTTAGGGACTTAAGTGTCCCATTTTGAAGTTTAGGGACTTAAGTGGATAATCGTCCAAAGTTTGGGGGGACAAAGTGGAATTAACCCTACAAATAAAAAGCTTGTCATTTAACAGAACATCCCAAATCACACCTCATCCATCATGATGTTAGAGGCACATTCCAAGTTTACCTTTTGTGTTTTCCCCAATGGTATCTGCATTCTATTCGATATTTACTTTTTTTTTTAACACTTACATCCCCAAATTATCTACAGGCTAGATTCTCTTGGTGCAACAACTATATATAAGAAACAAGGAAACTTAAAAGTGGATGAGAAAAACTTAAGTTAGATTATTATTCTTACAACCCAACAATAATAAGAAAATTTACAAATGTGCAAATTTGATTGCCTACCATAAAAGAGAAAATTGATCTTGCCTGCTATTACAGCAGGATAGAAAGTTTGAAGGAAAAACAAGAAAAAGAAAATAAATTGACATTTTTTTTTAAAAAAAAGGAAACTGAAATGAAATTTGCTCAATATCACTACTGTCTTACAATTAACAATTAGTTTATTCCACACAAATGACCTCTACAAAATCCTTTGCTAGGCTGGAAACTTATATGTGTGTGTATACATACACACGCCTCTTCTATCTTGGGAAAAAAATATGAAAGAAGAAGCTAATCACAGTGGTAAATTGAATAATTTGTTATGATAAAAGGAGGCCAAAGCATTTGCTAAAAAGGAAATGCAAAATGAGCAAGGAAAATGAAATGATTTGAGAAATTCCAAAAGCTTTTCTATCTTTAGGTTCAAGTTGTAGTATAAAAAAATTTGAAGGGCAGTTTTGATACTAAATTTGAATCAATGTTTATTGTTGTCTTGCCAATTAGGGAAAAGAAAAGTAAATATAGAATGCTTGAAACTCGTCTGGACTCTAGAATCGTCAAAATCATTGTGGCAAAATCACTATCGTCAAAATCTCTGTTCCTGGTGACTCTGTTGGGTCACCCCCTAGTATAGGCTAGATTAGAAGTAGATGGTGATAAGAGACAAAAAAAAAAAAAAGATATTTTTTTCTTGCTTGAAACTCCCCAATTTTTTCTCTTATCAAGTGAGATGAGCAAGATATATTTTTTATCTAAAAACCAATAATTATGGAGATAAATTTAACAAGACATATATCTATAAATATATAATAATTTTCATTATTATGTTTGGGATATTAATTTTTTAAATATTATTTGTCTTGAGTTGTATAAAATATTAGAATTGACTAATGGTTTTAGAGACAAATAGACAAATTAAGAGAAAAGTGATATTAGAGGGTAAAATACAAAATGGCCATACCTTAAGGGGATTTACTGTAATTAACCCTTGGGGTTATCAATGCCTATTTAATATTTTCATTATCCAAGTTTAGAGTTGACTAAAGGTTTAGGGGGTAAAATAAGAAAAAAAATAACATTAGGGGATAAAGTGCAAATTGGTTAAACCTCATGGAGAGAGAGTTTTTGTAATTTACCCTAAGAAAAATACTAATGCCCTAGAGGTTCCATTCCGGAACTACCCCTGGTGTGCGACGCCGCTTTCGTATATATACTGGGAGTTAGGGTTTAGGCATTCTTCCTAATCCTGCAGCGAGAGAGTGAGGGAGAGAGAAGAAGCGCCGCTCAGCCGAAGGAGCCTGATCCCCCCTTCCCCAACTCCTATCCTTAACAATGGTTGGTCCTCTTCATCTTCACTAGTTTTTCCTTTATTCTTATATGCTTTATACTTATCGTACTACGATTTAAATGGGCTCTGTGTCTTGAGCTATCGCGTCTGGATTTTGCGTATTCTCTTTGCACTTCATGAGTTTTTTTGCTGTAAAATTTGGGGGGGGGCGGTTATTTGATGTGCCATTTCGTTTGTGAATATGTAGTTTTCGAAGTTTGGATATGGAAGACGTCATTTGTTTGGTTGGCCCCTAAATTAATAATTCGTAGAACTTCGTATGGAAATTTTATCTGATAGGACGCAAAGATTTGCTGTTGTTCTTAGTGGCTTAGTGGTTTTCTTAAGGGATTGATCTTATAAGTGGTTCATTGTTTTTGCAGTTTATCTGTTTTATTTCTTTTATTGACATGTTTGTTTTCGAAAACCGTACATGATTCTATGCTTCTTTTTAAAGCCAAACGAAGGGATAGAATGACACTGAGGACACTTTTGGTCAGTAGAATACTGGGGTTGGTTTTATTTCTTTATTCTATCCTAGAAAAAGATGAGATTTGTTGTGAATATGGAATAAATTGTCGACATTTTAAATCTCCAGTGGTGTTTGAGAAATTGAGAGAGAAAAATCTGAACATGACAAAAAATTGGTCAGTCTGGCCTGGTTGACTATTTTGTGGTTCCCCTTGTCCATAATGTTGAAGGTGCTGTTACTATTGGAAGAAAGTGTATCCGTTTAATGGACAAAACACCAGATGTTTGAGTCCCTAAAATGTGCCATCAGAATGCCGCTTTTGGCTTTATTTTCTCGTCTAAACTTGGTGCATAATGTTGTAACTAGTCTTTTTTGTTTCATTGGACTGCAGGCTCGAGGTTTGAAGAAGCACTTGAAGAGGCTCAATGCCCCAAAACACTGGATGTTGGACAAGCTTGGTGGTGCTTTTGTAAGTGAACTTTGTTAATGCCCTCTCCCTATCCCAAGGGTGTTTTGGATTATTCATTTCATTCACTATTTGTCTCTGTTCCTTGTGCTGATTGTTTGATCCTCTTGATATTCTAAACACAGGCACCGAAGCCCTCATCAGGGCCACACAAATCTAGGGAGTGCTTGCCTCTGATTCTCATTCTGCGTAACAGGCTGAAGTATGCCCTCACATATCGTGAAGTCATTTCTATCTTGATGCAACGCCATATTCTTGTTGATGGCAAAGTTAGGACTGACAAAACATACCCTTCTGGTTTCATGGGTATGTGTGCCCTGTTGCCCCATTGTTAACCTTTATCTTTTTTCCCTGCATAGTATTGGTAGTAAGGATTTGAGATTTAATATTTTGAAGATTCCTTTAGGGTAAGGCATTAATTTAGGAGAAAAATGGAATTAATTTCTAGTGAAGCCAGTGAGTGTAGGAGCTGTTGAATGTTCATGTTGGAATGCCTTTACAGATGTTTGTCTGAGCTTTTCTTTTCTTTCTTTTCCTGTAGATAGAAGTTTCTGTGGCAGATTTTTCAAGGCTACTTGTTTTACCAGACTAGGTGTTTTGCCTAGAAACACTACACTGAATATGAGAGGGGGCATTTCACATTGTTAGTTAAGATTTATATGAAGAATCAGGATAAGAAAGTTGAGAGAAGAAATGTCAGTTTTGTGGACCCCTGATCTAAATTTTTTCTGCTTGCCATGTTACATTTTTGCTAGGCACGTGTATGTTGCAGCTGCTTTACCCTGAAAAACTTGGTCTACTTGTTAATTATGATATGCTGTCTGCTTTCCAGCCCATTTGATATTCATCTCACCTGACTTCTTCTTTGTTGCTAGATGTTGTATCTATCCCGAAGACCAATGAGAATTTCCGTCTGCTATATGATACAAAGGGTCGATTCCGACTTCACTCCATCAGGGATGAGGAGGCAAAGGTCTGTCTTTTTATTTTTTTCCCTTTTCTGTTGCTGTTGGAACTACTGTTGTTTTCGTTCTAATGATCCATGCATGACTTGTGACCAGCTGCTATTTTGCCCTCAAGTCTATTAATTGGGGTGCTAGTGATGATAGGAAATATTGATTTCAGTTCCTGTTGCTGTAATCCATTGGTCTAGACATTTATTGACCTGTTTCTTATTCCCTTTGTTGACAGTATTGGTACTGACATCCAGCCTCTCATATGCATTGTCAGAAATCAATTATTACGTGCACAGGTTGTCTTCTGGGAATAAACATGGTATTCTAATATATATTTATGTTTTGAGTTGCAGTTTAAGCTGTGTAAGGTTCGATCAGTACAGTTTGGACAGAAGGGCATTCCATACCTGAATACCTATGATGGTCGTACCATTCGTTACCCAGACCCACTCATCAAGGCCAATGACACCATCAAACTTGACCTGGAGAACAACAAGATTACTGATTTCATCAAGTTCGATGTTGGGAATGTTGTCATGGTGACTGGGGGAAGGAACAGAGGTCGTGTTGGAGTGATCAAGAATAGAGAGAAACATAAGGGAAGCTTTGAGACCATCCATGTCCAAGATGCCACAGGTCACGAGTTTGCTACTCGTCTGGGTAATGTCTTCATCATTGGAAAAGGTGCAAAACCCTGGGTGTCTCTTCCAAAGGGCAAAGGTATCAAGTTGTCAGTTATAGAGGAACAAAGGAAGAGGATTGCTGCCCAGGGGGCTACTACTGCCTAAATTTTCTACTATTAGCGTCTTTGGGAGGGTAACATTTTACTTGCAAAACTGGTATTAAGATGTTGCAATTTTTGAGTTGGGTTTAATGTTTTATTTGTCTTGTTTAGTTACAGTTTTGGACATTAAATATTGTGTTGGCGCGGTGATTGCACTGCTATCTAGAACCTATAGTTACAGGTTTAAAAGCCTTGGCTTGACGTTTGTTAGTCTTCCAATTACTGGGGCTGATAAGAGAATTTTCATTCATCTTTGAATTCCTTCGCCATGTGCAGACGACACTGATTAATTAGGTTCAAGTGATTGTAGATCTGAGCGGAGTTTTGTTCTACTTTTGACTGAAAACCTGGTCAACACAGCGAGTAGCATGGTTTGCAGATGAGATGAAACTAGTGGGGTTGAACGGGTATCTGCTAGTCGGACCAGCTTTCATGCCTGTAATGTCATGTAGTTCATACTTGCAGTTTCTCTTAAAGCCTCCAGTAAACTGGATGTTTTCATCCAGAGTCTTCATGGATACTTTCTACTGAAGATTGTTCTTTGAGTTGATTAAGTTTTGTGCATCTTCCCATGAATTTTTTAGTCTGCTCTATGTTTAGATGCGCGAGCTGGGTTAGGTTTTCTCGGATTACTTTCACCATTCAGATCCCACATTTTGATGCGTCTAGTATTTGAAAGCTCCTTGCTCGGGGAGAGAGGCTCAACAACTATACCTGTTTGCATGGGGCGATATTCTGTAGGAATTTGGAATTTGATAAAATCAGGTAAAAACAGGGTCAAGCTTGATTTGGAAGGTAATCCCTTTCGAGCATGTCCGGTATCGGTTGTTATTATTGCCTAAAGCAGCGTTGTGGTACGCTCTATTCTATTTCTTGGGGTGGGCGGCGCTGTTTGGTAATAATCCGCGAGAAAGGGTAGGCAATTTAGGGATCGTATAGTTCCGCTTTCAGTAGTAGTCACCGGAGAAAGGTACCGACACAGAAAAGAACAAGTCTGGTTGAAGAGTAGGCAATTTAGTTGGGTCCTAGTTCCGCTTTAATGTTGAGAGCACGTGCCCTAGTTTTTCCTACCACCACTGTCGGTAGGTCCAGCTCATGTTGCACACTGCACACCCTTTTGTTGATTGTTGCTCGTTGGATCGTATTTGGACTAACAATAATGTATGCGATGCGTCCTTCTACTTATTGGAGGGATCGTTTAAAATAATGCCAAATTTTATGGAGAAATCTGTTTATTGATGATGAAGCTTTACCGGGAAATGGAAGGATATTCAGACACAAAAAGTGGTATAAAAGGAGCCTAAAAGGCATCAATTTTTCCAAGAGCCGCGATCAAATGAATTTAACAGACAAAAAAAAAAAAGCGTAATTCAACAAATCTAAAGTTGCTTAAACTAAAAAAGCGTATTTTATTGAGCACCCTATCAACAAACAGCGGAAGTAGAGCAGAGTCTGAAACACACTGCTGCTATTTACTAGTGATATTTACAGCTATTGACTAGTGATATTTACAGAGAGTTTACTTGAACGACATCAGATGAGGAAAATACCAAAAAAAAAAAAAAAAACTTCTAAAATCCAGTCTGGACATAGTACTACATTTATTGAATTGGAAATTAACAAGGGAATAAAAAAGAAGTAGTGATACATTATGGGAGACATATTTGAATCTAAAAGACGCCGTCGTCGCCCTCCCCCTCGTGGTGCAGAAGCTTCTGATTAAAGTGCCACACGCCTACAACATCAACATCAAAAAATTAGTAAATTAAAAAGGCCGCCGCGCAAGTCTAAGGCACTCAGTAATCAAACAATTATCCAAGAAAATTACGTGCAAAATCGAGGAAAAAAAATCGTACCGTGTCCTTTTCCGACCATCCTCAACTGAGTGACATAATCTGAAATTTTCTTGATAGCTTCAACCTATATATTAATTATGGAGTAACAGATCAAATGAATAAATAACGATAAAGTAAGCCGTACAGATCAAATGAATTGACCGTTTCACTTCGATCGATCGCTAGTTAGTTAGTTATTACTTATTAGTAGTACTACTTATTACGCACCTGCTCCCCCAGGAATTCGCTCTCTATAAAGTCTTGCATCTGAGGATCATTATTCCGATCAGCCACCTGAGAATATGCATATATATATGTCCATTTAGCAGCAGATATGAATATTCATTTTTTTTGGGGAAAAAAAAAAAAACCAGAATCAGATGATATGATCAATCAAGATGTGGTAGTAATTTACGCTGTGCACTTCCAGAAGCTTCGCATTTATCAATTTCTCCAAGCACAAAGCTACTTCCATAGCTGAATGAATTACAAGTGCCTCGTCAATCATCAGTCATTTTTTTTCAATTTAACAAAAAAAAAAAAAAAGAGGTCATGGAACTGGCATATTTTTACATTCCTCAGGATTAAGCTTACCATACAGTGCATCGCCCTTCTCCACGTGATCGAACTCTGATTTGGGTTCCTTCAGAGGAAGTAATGTCACTCTCCCTCCTCGTATGTTCTAGTATCATTTTGAAACCACAGGTGAGATGAGGCCTAACCTCAGGGGAGGTTTCTGAAATTATTCCTTATTACAAAGTACTAACTAACTAACATCGTCGAATATTATACACTGATCTAGAGTATCTTGGCGTCGAATATTACCTGATATTTCATCAGCTTCTCCGCATGTTCTCTTTCTTCTTCACTGGACTCCTTGAAAAATCTGAGACACCGTAAACAACTTTCAGTAAAACCAACCTTAGGAAGTGTGTGTAGTATATACACGGAGTCTGCATATTTTTTATTTTAGAATTTAACACAACAGTTTTGAGGGAGGCAGTATCTGGTACTTACTTGGCTAGGCCTTTAAGAGCAATATTGTCCCTGTCGAAGTATGCATACATGGCGTGATACGCGTAGGACACACAGTACTCCGCACTGACATCAAACGACAAAACGACAAGACAAGACAAGACAAAACAAAACAAAAAGGGTCAGAAAAATAGGCACATTTGCAGTTGATTAGGAGCTAATTAAACTGTTAACATACATAACTAACTACAAGATCCAGAATCGATCGATGAAATATTCATGACAATAATGACTAAAGACCGAAAAAAGAAACTTTTAAATACATTTTTTTTTTTAAAAAAAAAAGAAAGATATTTTGAAAGAAGAAAGAGAGAGAAGATGCATGGTAGTAAATAAGGTGGAGAAGCAAGTCACTTGATCTGCTCATTGATTGCCGCCTCACACTCGTGGGAGAATCTCTGACGGGCAAGTGAAACACTGGGGGACAATGGGACCAAGAATTCGTCATTCTTAATCTCTTCAAAGGGCTGAAAAACCACTCCCGTGAGTGACAAGGTGCTGGTCTTTTCATCTGAAGCAAAGGTCCTGAAGCCTCCTTTCTGGCGATTAGTCTGCAAAACGACACTGGTTGGGCGGCCGCCTGCAGAGTCGGCCGATAACGAAGAAGAAGATAAGAAGTTAGCAGTAGTAGTGCCAGTGGTGGCTGAGTTGTTGCTCAACAACAAGGGATGAGCAGTAGCGCCTGCCCGTTGCAAGGAATAAGTTGGAGAAGAAATAGCTGCTTGAAGAAGCATGGCTTTAGGACTACGAAAAAAGCAATAAATTCTTGAAGCAGGGGATCGATGATTAAAAACTGTATAGATGTTGCTAGAGCTGGGTGCTGAATACTTCTTTTTTTTTTGTGAGTTTATATAGAGCGGAGCGAGGGGGGGAGGGATGGTGGGGAGCGGCAGCACAGAGGATAGATAGTGTTGGGTCATGTGAATTGTGGCGGGGAAGAAGGTGGAAGTGAGGAGCTGGGATACGGATCCTAATCGACCGTAGCGTATCTGACACGTGGTAGTCCAGTTGTACTGGGCGTGTGGAATGCTCGTGGCCTGATCCAAAAGTTTGCGGCATCTGACGAAATGTCCGGAAACCTGTCACTTTCTGTTGAGGGGAATCCAATGACCTTTTCTTCATTTCACACTACGTGGACTAGACTGTGGCATTATATATTCCTATCGTTTCAGAAAGACAAAAAAAAATAAAAATAAAAGAAGACTAGACTTGGCATTGTCGCGCCCTACTGCAAAAAAGAATCGATGATTTGAGAAACCTCTTCTGGCATGGGATGGGATGGGGGTTTTTGATAATTTTACTTGGTACCCCTGATATTTTAAACACAAATTGTTGAGCAAATTGCACCACATAAATGATTCTGTCTAGGTGCCAATGTTGAAAATAAAACTTTGTCCAAAATTAGACTAATTAGTATCGTGTGGACATGATGAGCTTTCCCGGAATATGCGGTCCTAAATTTCCAACATGATTACATCTTGACTGCGTTAATTAATGGCGAGTTTTAATTAAAAGAACCAACCCAAGTAGTGATGGCGCGCTGGTCTCATTCTTTTTTAAGCTGATAGTTGAAAATTACATTTTGTGTGAACTGGTCAAAGACTCATCTAATACTACTAAAACTCTTTCAAAGCCGAGAAAGCAAGGACGGAGTAGAGGATTGGTCCAAGAGTCCTAGTTATGGACTCAAAGCATTTAGGGTCTGTTTGTTAGGATTGAAAAATGAAAATGTTTTCCTAATTTTCAAGTGTTTGGTTCAATTATAACATAGGAAAATATTTTCTTGTGGAAAAGATTTTACGCTTGGTGGCGTAAAATAACTTCCGCAAAAAAGAAACTGAAGTTATTTTCTCTATCTTAAAGAAATGGAAACATCGAAGTCAAGCAATCACGTCGCACATACAGCCTCTTCATTGTCCTCTATTTGTCTCTCTCACACACAAATATATGCTAAGGCAAAAAAATTTGACAAACTCAAATCTCTGGAGATTAACTAAGCTAGATCCAAAGGACTATTCAAGTTGTCTATATTTGGGTTAAGGTTGGTGATGATGATCAGTATGTCTATGCGTGATTTTGGTTTCTTCAGCAGATGTAAATGTGAGAAAATAGATGACGATGGTGATAGAAGAAGAGCCGACAAGGATGCTAAAAGAGGCATAAGTTAATCACAGTAACATGGGCTCAGTCATTACGACGGGCTTGGGTGTTTTTGTAAATAAGTATCCAAACACCAGAAAATAATAGAGAAAAGAAACTGTTTTCCTGTCGAAAATTTTCAGTGGAAGATTTTTTCCGAAGAAAATATTTTACTCCCTACCAAACGGACCCTTACGGTGTGTTTGGATTGCAAGAAAAATTGTTACGTTTTTCATAAACACATTTTCTCATCACCTTTTTATCTTATATATAGTAAATTATTACAGTATTTTTTTTACAAAAAATTTAGAAAAATACAATCAAAATAAAGCCTATTTGTTGTTACATCAATAAAGCACTTTATCCACAGCTATTTACGTACTAAAGAGGGAGGGGAAACGGGAAAAATAATATTGACGAGAGTGATTTGAGCCACCCTAGAATATTTGCAAATGATATATATATATATATAGACACACATAGGTTAAAAAAAAAAAAAAAAAGATAGCGCCACAGTGAATAACAGATGATACCCAAAAACTAATATAATATTCAATCTAAAAACGCTAAAATATTTGCTGGATGTGTCAAATGGGTTGGGTTTTGGGGCGCATTCATCCAACGCTCCTCCGGATAGGATCATAGGACCAATCCGAAAATATTAGACCCAAATTCGCAATCTCACGGCCCTATCACTAGTGAACGCAGATTCATCATCGTCAGTAATGACGATAACACGAGTATCCATGGGTCAAGAATCCAAATTAGTCGTATCATCGGTGCAGAGCAGGTCCGAGTGGCTTTAATGGACTACTCATCATGAGTGTCATCCCAATCCACGACACAAACACTCGGGGAGAAGAAACCCAACTAGGATGAATCGATCAGTGGGGTTTGGCAAAAAACAAAAAAAAAATTTTAATTTATTTTGCTCCAAGAAATTCTTTTTTGGTAAAGGTAATAATGGATAATATTTTAGGATTTAACATTTGCCATGAACTTTTCTTCTTCAACCAGAATTCTCCTTATCTGTCTTTTAAAATGAAGTTGGTTATTTACTAGTACGTACTTGGAATTATCAATCCTCCTTTCTCTTCCTGTTTCTATATACCATCATCATCAATAATAATGATGTTTCTTTGTCCCAACCCGAGCTTTGCAATGAATGAATGAATGAAACTGCTGTACTTCCACCTCGCTTACATTATCAAACAGCAAAAAAAAAAAATTTTAATATTCTTTTTACCTTAATAATATACAGTGCAGTCTATTATGCCATTCAATTTTCAGAACTACTTTTCTTTCAACTATTTCAATAATCTGTAAGTCGGATTTCAACCCTGTCTTCTTCTTTAAGCAATCACCATATATATCCTGTTAAGAGTTGCTACTACTTAAAAGAAGTTTTTAACCCTCCTCTAAGCAATACTAGCAGTAATAGCTAAAATGGCATGATGAATGATATCCTTGTTAAATACGCACTAAAACTATACACTAGTGTCTTTCTCCATCGACCAAAATCGTCTTTGAAAATTAAAATTTCCACGTTTGCATAACTCATAGAATTATTGTGGTTAAATAATCATCATCAGCTAGCCGGTGTTTAGCGTACGTAATGCTTGTTATATATTTACTGTAGAATTGAATTTTTTTTTTTTTTTTTTTACCTTTTAGAATTTACGAGTTCGATACAGGATTGAATGGTGTATGCAGCCATGGTTCGCCATCGCGGTTTCGATTGTTCCACATCAGTCAAAGCGATATATCAGCCGATACCATGCATTACGGATTCAAATCGACCAATATCGATCGAGTCAAAGCGAATCGCCGTGGATATAATAATATATGCGATTTGAAAATCGATATCGTATCGATCCCTCCGCTCTCTAGTTATGATTCGACCAATCCGTATCGGAATCTGCCAATAGCAGCAGGACGAAGTCATTTATGTTGCCCCAGGCAGGCTGTAAGGTAAGGTGTGAATTGGCTGGCTCAGGCAATTTGTAAATTCTTCTTCATTAAGCGTAAAGAAAGAAAGGTGAGATGATATGAACACTTCCACTACCAGTTACCAGTTACCACTACTGCGGCCGGCTGAATTAGACTTTGGTGTGTGGATACACAAGTAGCTAGCTAGCGTGGTTTGGTGTTGGCAAAAGCAAGAGGGGAGGGAGGGAGGGAGAGGGACCCCTAATTACTATTCAGTTTCAGTATGAGGACAATGAACTTTTGGTTGTCAAAGCTACAAATCATGATGGTAAGATCGGATGTGGGTGGGTCACTTTAGGACTGAAGTTTACGTTGCTGCTTTTGGAGAGAAGTTTAGATGCCTCAAGGTACTTGTGGACACCACGCGTTCTTTTCTTAGACCACCAAAATTATCCTCCTCCTCCTCCTCCTCCAGATATTTTAATTACTACTCCGCTGCGTCTATACGCATTTATTTTAGGGATAATTTCAGATACCTCCCCTGAGGTTTCTGAGAGTCTCACTCTCATCTCTTGTGATTTCAAAAATATCACAAACCTCCTCTGTCAGAATTTAGATCCCATTTCTTACATCATCATGGCTAAAAAGACTTATATACCTCACAAGTCAACTAATATTTTGTGATTATCATGACAAATACATTTCAACTCACATAATTACTTTTTTCTACGCTATATCTAATCTCCCTTTTACATGTATACATAGTCAAATAATTAACACCTAACATGATGTAATTTTTTTAACACCTAACCATTCTAAATTTTTGCGTACCATTACACTACCTTTTATAAATATACACAGTCAAATAACTAACATCTAACATAATGTATATATTTGTAAACTGATTGTACCTCATAAATCATCCCGTGTAAGGTGTTTATAGGCAAATTAGTATTAGTCATATAAATAAAATTACATATATACTGCAACTTGTAAGGAGATGCACAAGTGGGTCAAAACACCAATAACCATTCCAAATCTATACATACTATTGCACTTTGCATATTGCTGCGATGACTAATTGCAATATGCATGTGAACAAATAACTGCATGTTCAACAATTTCTATGTATCGTACTTGGTCGATAATACGGTGTACATTATTTCAACTAGATTGTATATTCACTAAGTATTTATGTACATGCTACTTATTGAAGAAAACTAGCTCTCTGCTAAATATTTAATGCACTCTCATAAGCACTAATGGTTGATTTAATATGCAATTGGAATAAATAACCATCTAGTAAAAGCTTTTGATATAATATTATTGATGAATAACATATTGTATCTGAAATTATCCCTTTTTTCTAATTTATTTTTGGTTTTTATTAGTTTTCATTATTTCACTAATATAACTTGTACACTTACCTCAGGGGCATTTATGAAAACAAAATTCCCTCTCTTTTCTGAAAACACTTTTTTATGTTCACTTTTGACATCATGGGCTGATTTTGTTACAAAATTCTAAAACTCAGGGGAGGCTTGTGATATTTTTGAAACCATAAGGGAGGAGAGTGAGACTGTAGAAACCTTAGGGGAGGTTTCTGAAATTATCCCTTTATTTTATTCTTTCTTTCCTTTTTATCTTGAGAGCTGGCCATTTCGAGGGTGACAGCGTGCAGCATATCCAATCCTAAAGTCGCAATTCACAAAGCCATTATCCACCCAAAAAAGTATGGCCTGTGGATAACACACTCCTGACTCCCCCACCATCCCCCGTCCCCCATCCCCATCCATCTCTATAGACCATAGATCACTACCATACTCGTCAAAACAACACCACCCATTGTGATCATTCTCCCGTTTCTTCCAATAATAAATCAATACAGTAGTAATCTAAAGTGAAGCCATGCCAGTAGTACTATTTTAAGTAGTGTTTTGTCACTTGTTGAATTTAGGGACCATTATTATGATACTCTCCATCTGTTTAGGGCTATTATTAGCTTTACTCCAAGACACCGGGATTCATCTTTCTAATGCATCATCTATTTTTCTTCACCTTTGCACGTATATAATTAAAGTGACTAGATTTTTTAGAAAATAGAAAAAAAAAAAGGCTCTTCCACCCAGAATATATGTCTCTGCGGCCTTAAATTTAATAGTCCCATTAGCTATTGGGAGTATTGCTATCATCTCATGAAGAACTTTCGCATGGCGACAAGCCCTTTCAATTCAACCAGAAAGCGATCCATCCCTATCAATTATTGTTCACTTCCTCCTTTAAACGTCGAGCACACAACCAAGTTACCACAGCTCCCCTCAACACTCCTACACCCGACCCAACATGGCCGCAACCACCACCAAGACGGATGGCACCCCGAAATTCCACCCTGCAGCCTCAGATTTCCGTCCAGAAAATATCTCCGTCTCCCAACCACCAATCCATGATGGCCTCCAATTCTGGCAGTTTATGGTCGCTGGTTCGGTCGCTGGCTCCGTGGAGCACATGGCAATGTTCCCAATCGACACCCTCAAAACCCGCATGCAGGCGATTGGGTCCTCCTCCTCCGCATGCAAAACCGCCGCACCCTCGAAGAAACTCGGCCAATCCTTTGTTTCCATTATGAGAGCAGAAGGCCTGGGTGAGTATCTGGTACTTACTTGGCTAGGCCTTTAAGAGCAATATTGTCCCTGTCGAAGTATGCATACATGGCGTGATACGCGTAGGACACACAGTACTCCGCACTGACATCAAACGACAAAACGACAAGACAAGACAAGACAAAACAAAACAAAAAGGGTCAGAAAAATAGGCACATTTGCAGTTGATTAGGAGCTAATTAAACTGTTAACATACATAACTAACTACAAGATCCAGAATCGATCGATGAAATATTCATGACAATAATGACTAAAGACCGAAAAAAGAAACTTTTAAATACATTTTTTTTTTTAAAAAAAAAAGAAAGATATTTTGAAAGAAGAAAGAGAGAGAAGATGCATGGTAGTAAATAAGGTGGAGAAGCAAGTCACTTGATCTGCTCATTGATTGCCGCCTCACACTCGTGGGAGAATCTCTGACGGGCAAGTGAAACACTGGGGGACAATGGGACCAAGAATTCGTCATTCTTAATCTCTTCAAAGGGCTGAAAAACCACTCCCGTGAGTGACAAGGTGCTGGTCTTTTCATCTGAAGCAAAGGTCCTGAAGCCTCCTTTCTGGCGATTAGTCTGCAAAACGACACTGGTTGGGCGGCCGCCTGCAGAGTCGGCCGATAACGAAGAAGAAGATAAGAAGTTAGCAGTAGTAGTGCCAGTGGTGGCTGAGTTGTTGCTCAACAACAAGGGATGAGCAGTAGCGCCTGCCCGTTGCAAGGAATAAGTTGGAGAAGAAATAGCTGCTTGAAGAAGCATGGCTTTAGGACTACGAAAAAAGCAATAAATTCTTGAAGCAGGGGATCGATGATTAAAAACTGTATAGATGTTGCTAGAGCTGGGTGCTGAATACTTCTTTTTTTTTTGTGAGTTTATATAGAGCGGAGCGAGGGGGGGAGGGATGGTGGGGAGCGGCAGCACAGAGGATAGATAGTGTTGGGTCATGTGAATTGTGGCGGGGAAGAAGGTGGAAGTGAGGAGCTGGGATACGGATCCTAATCGACCGTAGCGTATCTGACACGTGGTAGTCCAGTTGTACTGGGCGTGTGGAATGCTCGTGGCCTGATCCAAAAGTTTGCGGCATCTGACGAAATGTCCGGAAACCTGTCACTTTCTGTTGAGGGGAATCCAATGACCTTTTCTTCATTTCACACTACGTGGACTAGACTGTGGCATTATATATTCCTATCGTTTCAGAAAGACAAAAAAAAATAAAAATAAAAGAAGACTAGACTTGGCATTGTCGCGCCCTACTGCAAAAAAGAATCGATGATTTGAGAAACCTCTTCTGGCATGGGATGGGATGGGGGTTTTTGATAATTTTACTTAGTACCCCTCTTATTTTAAACACAAATTGTTGAGTAAATTGCACCACATAAATGATTCTGTCTAGGGTTTTTTTTTTTTTTTTGACACTGCAAGTATCCTGTGCGTATCCAGAACCATCCGACTAATTCCACAGCGCTCAGGCAGAGCGTACCCAACCGATGTCTAATACGATAAACAACTGAGGTGCGGATTGAAATCGAACCCAAGCAAATTTGGAGTAGTGATCCGTCTTCACCATCCGAACAACCCAGGACGGGCTCTGTCTGGGTATTAGGTAGGTGCCAATGTTGAAAATAAAACTCTGTCGAAAATTAGACTAATTAGTATCGTGTGGACATGAGCTTTCCCGGAATATGCGGTCCTAAATTTCCAATATGATTACATCTTGACTGCGTTAATTAATGGCGAGTTTTAATTAAACAAACCAACCCAAGTAGTGATGGCGCGCTGGTCTCATTCTTTTTTAAGCTGATAGTTGAAAATTACATTTTGTATAAACTGGTCAAAGACTCATCTAACACTGCTAAAACTCTTTCAAAGCCGAGAAAGCAGGGACGGAGCAGAGGATTGGTCCAAGAGTCCTAGTTATGGACTCAAAACATTCAGGTGTGTTTGGATTGCAAAAAAAATTGCTACGTTTTGCATAAACATATTTTCTCGTCACCTTTTTAACTCACAAATATCAAATTATTACAATAATTTTTTTATAAAAAATCTAGAAAAATGCAATCAAAACAAAACCTATTTATTGTTATATCAATAAAGTACTTTATCCATGGTTATTTACGTGCTAAAGAGGGAGGAGAAACGGGAAAAAGAATATTAACGAGCCACCCTACAATATTTGCAAATGATATATATATATATATATATATATATATCACACACACACACACACACAAGAGATGATACCCAAAAGAGAGAGCGCCACAATGAACAACAGATGATACGCAAAAACTAGAGTAATAATATTCAAAATAAAAACGCTAAAATATTTGCTGGATGTGTCAAATGGGTTGGGTTTTGGGGAGGCATTCGTCCGACACTCCTCCGGATAGGATCATAGGACCAATCGGAAAATGTGTTAGACCCAAACTCGCAATCCCACGGCCCTATCACTAGTGAACGCAGATTCATCATCGTCAGTAATGACGCCAACACAGAGTATCCATGGGTCAAGAATCCAAATGAGTAGCATCATCGGTCCGAGTGGCTTTGATGACCGCTCATCATTAGCATCATCCCAATCCACAACACAAACGCTCGGGGAGAAGAAACCCAAGTCGGATGAATCGATCGGTGGGGTTTGGCAAAAAACAAAATTTTTTAAAATTTATTTTGCTCTAAGAAATTCTTTTTTGGTAAAGGTAATAATGGATAATATTTTAGGATTTAACATTTGCGATGAACTTTTCTTCTTCAACCAGAATTCTCCTTCTCTGTCTTTTAAAATGAAGTTGGTTATTTACTAGTACGTACTTGGAATTATCAATCCTCCTTTCTCTTCCTGTTTCTATATACCATCATCATCAATAATAATAATTTCCACGTTTACCAAACAAGGCAAAATTTCCACGTTTGCATAACTCATAGAATTATTGTGGTTAAATAATCATCATCAGCTAGCCGGTGTTTAGCGTACGTAATGCTTGTTATATATTTACTGTAGAATTGAATTTTTTTTTTTTTTTTTTTTTACCTTTTAGAATTTACGAGTTCGAAACAGGATTGAATGGTGTATGCAGCCATGGTTCGCCATCGCAGTTTCGATTGTTCCACATCAGTCGTGGCATATCAAGTGAATATTGAGTGATACACAAATTATAATACATAAAAATTTTGAAAAAAAATTACTAAAAAGACACAATTTGAAAAAATATCCGAATCGAATCCGATATATCAGCCGATACCATGCATTACGGATTCGAATCGATCAATATCGATCGAATCAAAGCGAATCGCCGTAAATATAATAATATACGTGATTTGATAATCGATATCGTATCGATCCCTCCGCTTAGTTATGATTCGACCAATCCGTATCGGAATCGGCCAATAGCAGCAGGACGAAGTCATTTATGTTGCCCCAGGCAGGCTGTAAAGTAAGGTGTGAATTGGCTGGCTCAGGCAGGCTGTAAATTCTTCTTCATTAAGCGTAAAGAAAGAGAGGTGAGATGATATGAACACTTCCACTACCAGTTACCACTACTGCGGCCGGCTGAATTAGACTTTGGTGTGTGGATACACGAGTAGCTAGCTAGCGTGGTTTGGTGTTGGCAAAAGCAAGAGGGGAGGGAGGGAGGGACCCCTAATTACTATTCAGTTTCAGTATGAGGACAACGAACTTTTGGTTGTCAAAGCTACAGATGCTGATGGTAAGATCGGATGTGGGTGGCTCACTTTAGGAATGAAGTTTACGTTGCTGCTTTTGGAGGGAAGTTGAGATGCCACAAGGTACTTATGCACACCACGCGTTCTTTTCTTAGACCACCAAAATTATCCTCCTCCTCCAGATATTTTAATTACTACTCCGCTGCGTCTATACGCATTTATTTTAGGGATAATTTCAGATACCTCCCTTGAGGTCCTTGAGGTTTCTGACAGTCTCACTCTCATCTCTTGTGATTTCAAAAATATCACAAACTTCCCCTATCAGAATTTAGGTCCCATTTCTTACATCATCATGGCCAAAAAGACTTATATACCTTCACAAGTCAATTAATATTTTGTGATTATCAGGACAAATACATTCCAACTCACATAATTACTTTTTTCTACGCTATATCCAATCTCTCTGTTACATGTATACATAGTCAAATAACTAACACTTAACATGATGTAATTTTTTTAATACCTAACCATTCTAAATTTTTGCGTACCATTATACTACTTTTTATAGATATACACAGTCAAATAACTAACATCTAACATAATATATATATATATATATATATATATATTTGTGAACTGATTGTACCTCATAGATTATCCCGTATAAGGTGTTTATAGGCAAATTAGTATTAGTCATATAGATAAAAATACATATATTCTGCAACTTGTAAAGAGATGCACAGGTGGGTCAAAGCACCAATAACCATTCCAAATGTATACATATTATTGCACTGTGCATATTGCTGCGATGACTAATTGCAATATGCATGTGAACAAATAACTACATGTCAACAATTTCTATGTATCGTACTTGGTCGATAACATGGTGTACATTATTTCAACTAGATTGTATATTCACTAAATATTTATATACATGCTACTTATTGAAGTAAACTACCTCTCTACTAAATATTTAATGCACTCTCACAAGCACTAATGGTTGATTTAATATGCAATTGGAACAAATAACCATCTAGTAAAAGCTTTTGACATAATATTATTGATGAATAGCATATTGTATCTGAAATTATCCCTTTTTTCTAATTTATTTTTTGTTTTTATTAGTTTTCATTATTTCACTAATATAACTTGTACACTTATCTCAGGGGCATTTATAGAAACAAAATTCCCTCTCTTTCCTAAAAACACTTTTTTATGTTCACTTTTGACATCATGGACTGATTTTGTTACAAAATTCTAAAACTCAGGAGAGGTTTGTGATATTTTTAAAACCATATGGGAGGAGAGTGAGACTATCAGAAACCTTAGGAGAGGTTTCTGAAATTATCCCTTTATTTTATTCTTTCTCTCCTTTTTATCTCGAGAGCTGGCCATTTCGACGGTGACAAGCGTGCAGCATATCCAATGCTAAAGTCGCAATTCACAAAGCCATTATCCACCCAAAAAAGTATGGCCTGTGGATAACACACTCCTGACTCCCCCACCATCCCCCATCCCCCATCCCCGTCCATCTCTAGAGACCATAGGTCACTACCATACTCGTCAAAACAAGACCACCCATTGCGATCATTCTCCCGTTTCTTCCAATAATAACTCAATACAGTACTAATCTAAAGTGAAGCCATGCCAGTAGTACTATTTTAAGTAGTGTTTTGTCACTTGTTGAATTTAGTGACCATTATTATGATACTCTCCATCTGTTTAGGGCTATTATTAGCTTTACTCCAAGACACCCGGATTCATCTTTCTAATGCATCATCTATTTTTCTTCACCTTTGCACGTATATAATTAAAGTGACTAGATTTTTTAGAAAATAGAAAAAAAAAAAGGTTCTTCCACCCAGAATATATATCTCTGCGGCCTTAAATTTAGTAGTCCCATTAGCTATTGGGAGTGTTGCTATCATCTCATGAAGAACTTTCGCATGGCGACAAGCCCTTTCAATTCAACCCGAAAGCGATCCATCCCTATCAATTATTGTTCACTTCCTCCTTTAAACGTCGAGCGCACAACCAAGTTACCGCAGCTCCCCTCAACACTCCTACACCCGACCCAACATGGCCGCAACCACCACCAAGACGGATGGCACCCCGAAATTCCACCCTGCAGCCTCAGATTTCCGTCCAGAAAATATCCCCGTCTCCCAACCACCAATCCATGATGGCCTCCAATTCTGGCAGTTTATGGTCGCTGGTTCGGTCG